TGTATTAAGCTTTGTTTAAAAATTATGTAACTTGCTGAATTTGCCCGGAAACGGGGCAGTGCGGGGGAAGGGAAGACGAGATGAGATTGGTCACTGTGATGGTGTTTCAGTAGGGGATGCTAAGCATACCGGGGAAGGCACATATCGCTCTGTTAAATGTTGTTTTAAGCAAAGCGGATGTAATGTGAGGTGCCGGTTGCAGAAAATCGCCAAACAGGCGTCGTGAAGAAAATTTAACGTGGAATTTGAAAGAGGGTGATAGCGATGCCACAAGAACACTTTTTGTTGGTAATATGCCGGCTGATATTCGTGAGCAAGAAATTCGGCGTGTCTTCGAAAAATATGGAAAGGTTGAGGACGTGGATATCAAGACGCCGCCGGAAACAAATGCCGCATACGCTTTCGTTCTTTTCCAGGTAATCCGCTCAGCAGCAGCTTCTTCCATCGCATGCAAAATTCATAATTTTGTAGGACCGATTAGTTTCGGGGATCCGTTCTGCTTTTGATCCGGTTTTGTGCGCTTTTTGCAGCTATGCAATGCGGAAAACCGCATATTGACGAGAGGTTGTTTGTGTATGTGTGTGTCTGTTTGTGTGCTGGACCTCCGTACTGATTTTTCATCTCGAAACCTACGAAAGCTACAGAGCTGAAACTTTGGGAACTTAATATACATTCATGTATGGCCCAATCCCCAAAATGGGCGGTCCTCCTCACGTGGTTCCCGCGTACAGGCCCACCAAAATTTTTTTCGGGTAAGTCGGCAACTTGAGAATTTGAAAAACTAGAAGACTGTAATTTTAAGAGCTTGTTTCCCGTCCGCCTAAGTCTTATTGCGCTCAGACCCAGACTCCGGGTATGCGTGGTACCATGTATGGGCCCGCCAGAATTTTTTTCAGACAAATCGCTAACCTGAGAATTTCAAAAGCTGGAAGACTGTAATTTTAAGATTGTATTCCCCGTCCACCTAAATCTTATTGAGCTCAAACTCAGCCCCCGGGTATGCGTGATACCCACGTATGAGCTCGTGAAAGTTTTTTTCGGGTAAGTTGATAACTCGGGGACCTGAGAAGCTAGAAGACTGGAATTTTGAAGGGATGTTTCTTGACAGTCCTGGCGGTCGGTCTGAAATTCTTTTAGCTAGAAGCATCTGTCGGATAGTGCCGTTAGCAACAAATATCTGCGGGGAACTATGCAAAAAACGCATCTTCGCACGGGCAGCCCGTGCGTTGGCCAGTTATTGCGTCTTGTTGCAAATGCAGAAACACATATTGTCGAGAAACTGTCCGCGTGTGTGTGTGTGTTCGGAGGCGATTGAACTTTGTCACCCACTTTCAGTTTTGCAGCCGGAGAAGCTGAGAGCCTGAAATTGTGGGAGCATATCCCCACTTCATGTCCCCTCCCATTTTGAAATCAACACTCACGTATACATTGGAACTCATCTACGAACGTCTGGAAAAAAACGTGTAAGTACTTTATGGAGGTATTCCCTGTCTTTGGATCATCTTATGATTTAAAATTCAGCTACTGGGCAAACTTGCGTCACGACAAAGTTCTTAACACCGTGCCGACTTGCAAATTAATCGGAAAACGATACCTGTAATTTCACTAGAATATTTTTCGTCCATCTGAGGACTCGTATGCCTACGTTATCTCGAATTGCACTTGTGGCAAGCTTAGTAAGGCACGTCAAAGATACTTGTAGCGAAGTGGCGACTTTAATTAAAGGACAAACTGCGGAACTGGAAATGTGCGTGGGTATCATGGGTATCCTATATGACCTAAATTCGGCTTAGGGGCTGAATTTCTTGCACACGGACATCACAGATGCTCAGTTCTAACTCAGCCTCAAAAATGAGTGCACTTTGTCGGGATTTTCTTATCCTTCTCTTGTCATCTTTATTGTCCACTTTTCATTTTCACTGAGCGACTGGACACCGGCAATTATTTATTTCTTCCATACAAAGTTTACGATAATTACACATGTTGGAGATTATAATCCCGTATTGTCTCATAATGCAGCATTACCGTCCCAGCCGATGCCCGTCCCGCCCCTTTCCTGTCCCGTCCTTTTTTGTCTTTCGACTGGTTCTCTCGCACGCAGGAAAAGATTAAGACGTATCCAGCATGAGCGCACATCTTTAACTGTGAGGCAGTGACCATTCATATTGTCAACGATCTGGCTGCTTCAAATTTATCGCGCAAAAACGCATGATCTCATTGGCAAACTTGGTGCGTCGCTAGCTGGGCTTCTGGCCAATGATTTTATTAGTGGCACTTCAAAAAATCGCTTTTTAAGTAAACTACAGCAATAATTATAGGAAGTGTGGAAGAAACGGTCACAAACGTTATGTTGAGGGGGGAGCGGAGGGAGGAGACTTATGCACCTACCATAACCGCATAAGTATTCTTATCGGCCTACTTTTCAAAAGCATTTCATTTTGGCCGCTTTATATTCAGACTTTGGAACAATCGATGAATGCAAAGGCAAACGAACATGATCGTCCAATACGACCGGGCACCAGCCGTTGTAAAATTGGTTACGGCAAATCACAGCCATCAAATCGCTTATGGATCGGAGGTCTTGGGCCGTGGACATCCGCGGAATACCTGGCCAAGGTAATGCCGGGGTTTGCTTCTGTAAATGAATACGAATGGTTTATGCAGCAACCTGCGATCTGCAGCGCTGCTCCCATGCTGTGGCTTTGACTGGTTGCTGAAGTCTCGTCAATGGTGCTTCCCGTGAGAAATCGGCTGGAGTATTTCTGACATACCGCTTTTGTTTGTCAACTGCTCTATCTGCTTCATCTCTCGAAATGCGAAGAACTTGCCGGATATGCAGAGGTGCCGTTTTGTGCGGTGTAGGATGAAATAGTCGTAGCGGCGCCACTCAGTTGTGAACATCCGTCAAACGATATTTGACAGAGCGTGAATTTCTGAATTTAAATTATCAGAATGGCAAGGTTAGTTCCTTTGTAAGTAACGTTGTTTTTGAGGAATTTGATCGGTATGGCATGATTGATCGTCTGGACTATGAAGAAGGCGCTGATTTTGCGTTCATACGTTTCACGGATCAGAATGCAGCAATGGATGCTTGCCGTGCGATGAAAGGCTTCCCCTTGGGTGGCAGAGATCGCTGTATCATTGTCGATTTTGCAAAGTTAGTCACTGATACTTTGATTAGTCTCATTTGGTAGCTTCGTCCTCTATCTCCATTTGCTTCGATGAATGATTCATGAGCTGCTGAGGGTCCTGGCATTCATACTATCTTTATGTCTTTGGGCACAGTGGAGGCTCAGACCTGAGTAATTTACGGCTTTTTTGTGTGTTTGGCCGCTTTACAGTCACAACTGAAATTCTCATGTGTGCGCATGTTGCATTTGCAGGGATGATCAGCAGAAGGATGATCGCAAAAGACGGCGAAACATGCCTGTGGCTACAAGAAAGCGCAACAAAGGCGCAGGTTCGGCATTTGGCAGCCCACCGGGCACACCATCGGATGAGGAAATTGACACAGTTGATGAACTTGAACGACGAATCGCACCAACATGGCAGGGCTTTGTTATCCTGAAAAAGACTGAATATGCTATACGCCTTCACCGTATATCGGGGACCGAGCACTTGCTGCAGAAGCTGCTTCGGGACCCATCAGATGGAAGCGCTCTGAAGCTTCATATTACCCAGCGGCTTCCACTGGCAAGTCAGGAGGCACTTGAGGAGAGGCTGATTAATTCATCGAAGAAGCAGCTCAGCTTAATGATTGCTGTAGCGTGTGATAAGCCACTCCGGCCTCTTGCCAATTATCTTTCAGAAAAGGATGCTGCTGGCGTTGTCACTGTACCAAACGGTGTGCTTTATATTTTTGCTGCTAGTAATATGGCTGATCGATTAATTCAGGCTTGCGCGCAGCAGGTCACTTTGTTCACTCCTGATTGTGGCCACTTATTATTTGCTTTGGCCCTGAAGGCTTCGGCTGATACTCCCAGTGCAGTTTGATTCAGCTCTGCATCGTCGTTCTCACTGTGTTATATTATGAACGCTTTCTGTCGTCCATTCAGACGACTTGTTCGGTTGGCTTGCCGACCATGATACTGGCACTCATTGCGCCTCTTTCTCTCCTCGCCTCTTCGATGAGAAATGCTGAAGTAGACATAGGAGTTACGGTGGAAGTGATATTCATAATGTAGCGGGAGTCACAGAGATCTACCACGTAGCTCCTTTTTTTGTCTTAACTCCTTATTAACAATAGCAAAAAACGCTTTAATCACTCGGTGCTGATACTCTTTCTAATTGATAACTGAGCTTTCGTTGCGGCATAAGATTTAAGTGTTTTTTCCTGAAGCTGTCTAGTGCGCTGCTCTAGTGCATTTTGCGGTGTTTTTTTTTTATCGCTGAGTTGCTCCCGGTTTTTAATTGCAGCATACAATCCCGTACAGCATCTCCCTGTGAATCGATCATTCTTTTTATGCGGTAGATTAGCTGGTGCATGTCAGGAAGTTAGCACTACCATCGGCTTGTTTTTAAGCAGCTCTCGGATGAGGGTGCTACTGCCGTCTGTCATACTGTTCTCGGGTGCCCTCGGCTTTCATGGTGAAGTATGGAGGGTTTTGATTTTCATCACCGCTGAATTTCATTCCTGTTGCGTTCCCGCGTACGCTGGCTGGCCACGCGTTAATAGGCGCCCTGTGGCGGCGTATGCAAAGTGATGCTGCTGCTGCCATACACAAAAAAGCATGATCTGGGGAGAGCAGTAGTGCGATGTGAGATTTGCCTGGCCATCTGACTAACATTGTCTTGCTAAGTGCTCCTGCTGCCGCCAAGCTGTGGTTTATTGTCGTCAGTCGAATCGATCATTCATTCATTCATTTATTCATTATCTGTCGCGCTTAACTTTTTCTACTAGTTCGTCTCGTCGTATTTCAGTGCAGTGTTTCGTGTTATTCTACCGTTTGATGAGCTTGGTCGGATTTGCTCTGATTTGCACTGCTCGTTTGAATTCGAAAACTCCTGGGCTTGTTTTCATTGGCCTCCCATTAATCTAAGCCTATTATTTTACTTCCTCTGTGTGTGTCCAAAATGCAGCCCCTTCTGTCCTCCCAAAGGAACGTCGTTTAGTTCCTTTTCGCTGTGACAGCCTTAGCTTATATGATTAACCTGAAATATCTGGGATTTCCTTCTGTCAGTATTCACTGTATGAATTTAACACTGCTTCACCAAGAATGTTCGGGCTGTCGTTGGGGAGCTCGTTGGTACTGACTGAGCCAGAGCTTCTCTCCAATTGCACTTATTCTGGGCACTCCGTTCCTAACTCATCGCCCTTTTTCGGCTACCCATTAACTGGACGACAGTGTGCGTCAGCTTATTGGCAGTGGTCAATTTCGCGGTAATGCGTGATGTGGTGCGTGTCAGCAAAGTGAGCAGTATGTCCGGCTCATGATTTCTGCATTCGCTGGCCTTTACTGCAATATCCTGCGCACCACTCATTTTGTGTGCAGCAACGAAGAAATATTCGAGCATCGGGCGTTTCCTCGCTTTTCCTGTAACCGTTAAATCGTTCTTTTGTTTTCGTCAGTGACTTTCGCTCGTTGCTGCTGAGTAGAGTCGGAAGGATACACTGCTCTTCAGATGTATTATTAACACTAGCTAGCCATCATATGAAAACTATGTGTTTGGAATTCTGCTGTTTTGAAGTTGTTATTTCTGTATGCTCGTTATTCTCTGATATTTTTTGGGACAGCATATTATGTCAGTGAAAGGTTTGTAAGTTTATCATTCACTCACCACTTCACAGCGCTGTCGCGCATGGCGCGAAAACTGCTTGCTGTGACTTTTCGTATCTAATCCATTTTCAGATATCATTCACTCAATGGATGACAGGTGAGGTCGTTTCACTCTTCCCCTGATTTCTGTGGGAAAGTGCTTTGACAAAGGTGATGGCGCGAGGTTGGTGGCAGGGTTGTGTAGAAATGCGTACAGTGATGCCTTCACTTGCAAGGGCTTCCCGGTACTAGTTGCCAGACGTGCGCAGAAGTGCTTGCAGAGTTAGTGAGAGACTGCGTGCTGGGAGTCACTGCACATCGGGTTTTACGCTTGTACATTTTGTAGTCTTCTGAACCCATCTGGCGCGACTTATATAATGTCAGGCTGTGGGGGTTCTGTTGTGGAATTTATTGCATAAAGTGAAATAACAGTAGGCCATTTAAAGAGTAGGTTTGCTGGTCGTTTTGAGAGGAAGATCCGCTCTTGTTAAAGCATGCATTAGGCAGAAAGGGGGTTTTTTATGCGTTTTTTGCAGCAATGCAATGCAAAAAACGCATATTGACGAGAGGTTGTCTGT